GCGTTTCGAGTAAAATAGAGTGGTTTTCTTTTGCGAATAATTGACTGGTGACACTATTCCAAATACTGAATAAATTATTAGAAATTTGTAAAGTATTCCAGAAACACATACGTGAAACTGTCAGAGAGTTTACGTTTTGTTTGAAAGGATTACAACTTGATCAACATTTGCAGATTATTTTTGAGAAAAGTCATAATATCTCCATCAAACAAACAATTCCTGTGGTTTGAAGCAAAATTTTAAGTTTCATGCAGCATTACAGCATTGAAATCACAAAAAATCTATTTGCAACACAGCAGTGCTTTTTCTTTTAAAAGAAATACAGTACAAGAATGCTAACAAATTAGATATCTTGTATTTAACCACACTACCAACTACTGCATTACAGTGATGAGATAATCGCTATGTTGTGGTATTTAAATTACAATCCTATCTCAAAATCTTGTGCATCTTATATTATAAAATCTAAGACTGTGCTAATTTATACTTAGTAGCCAGTGGCTTAGTGTAAAATACTCTGATGCATAAGCACTCAGCGATTAAATGTGTAATACTATAATAGCTTAAATAGCTTAAATCTTGATTTAGTTTGGTTTTTGATGCTAAAACTTGAAACGAATTTTCATACTTATCACAAGTCTATATAGTAATGAAAAATTTAGCAGCAAGTGGTTCAGTTTGTATCAGACAGTAATGAAAAGGAATTAATATTTTTCGGTCGAAGGCAAATTTTGTATAATGCTTGAACCACAAAAGCGAAAAACTAATACTTTAATCCTTCTACTACTCCAGTAAGTTTTGCTTAACTTAGCAGATCAAAGCGCTTTCGATTGAAGCATAATCAAATGCTGATAGATTTATGTATTGTAGTATTTTATTATCCGTCATTAATCAGAAATTTTGATTACTTAAGTGATTACCGAGGCTTATAAATCACAATAGTATTATAGTACTCAGTTGGACTTTATCACACTTATTATCAGCTTGATGCATTCATGATAGTTCACTTGAAAAGTAGCCTACTGTATTTGCCATTACCAATTCTTGACTTCTTACAATTTTACTCTCCATTATGAACCGCAATACTTGTTTTTAAGTTATGAAAGCGTCTGTTTTGAACTGAAAGATTTGTTACAGTATTCAATAGTATCAAAATTGATTTACCTAAGATTTTATGCAAGATTAGAAAATGGTTAGTGTGGCTTTCAATGAAGGGTTTGGTAGTGCAGAACAGAGAATGGCAGAATGCATAAGCACACTCTGAATATTCAAAAAAGTTATTTATTCCTAGAATTCGTTTTTATAATAAGTGATAAAAGCGTAGTATATAATGAGGGAAGTGACTACTTTTATATCAGTGGAGTGAAAAAAATACTTATATCGCAATGCGATGTAAGCATTTAAAAGTAGTTAAATTCTACAAAAAATATTCCTGTAATAATAGTAACATGAATAAATATTATTGTTATTGTTATTGTTATTATTATTATTATTACTATTATTATTACTATTATTTTCAATACTCATATTAATATAATCAATATATTTGCTGGTGGATGACGGAGAAATGACAAGATTGTAATGAATGAGAGATTTAACATCAGCATCTACCAGAAATATGTTGCTCATTTATTCCTCCTTCTTTTCTTCCTCTTCCTTCTTCTCTTCCTCTTTTTTCTCACCTTCCGCCTCCTATAATTTTGAGTCGAAATGTCAAAAAGAAAAACAAACAAACAATAAAATAAATTTAATCGAAAGTTCATTAACGGCAAGTTAGGCACAGAATAATCCAAACTGGCAGCAAGGCAGGCAATTGTACCTCTTTTTTGGACCCTTCCTTCTTCGAGTTATCCTTCTTCGAGCTTTTCTTTTCTTCCTGAAGCACCACTGATGCTTCACTTCAAACACGCAATTCACTACTACCACCCACGATACAGTACCTACTTAAGCACTCTCAAGACACCATGCCTTGATCTGTTTTATGGTAATATGAGACTACTCACCTCCTTCTTGGAGCCCTCCTTTTTAGACCCTTCTTTCTTCGAGCCCTCCTTCTTAGAACCCTCTTTCTTTGACCCTTCCTTCTGTGATCCTTTCTTCTCACTTTCTTTCTTTTCCTCCTGCAGTGCATTTTGTCATATTTTATTTTATCATATCAATCTACTTACTACATTATCAAGAACTCAAGTAAATAGATCACGAAAAGCTGAACAGGTTCTAGCTCATGCAATCTCAGTCAGTTCGTTTCTGATAAAAATGTCTAACCTCCCCCTCCTTCTTCTTATCCTCATCTTTTTTGCCACTTTCTCCCTCCTTTTTATCCTCATCCTTCTTATCTCCCTCACCCTCTTTCTTTTCCTCATCCTTCTTTTCTCCATCGCCTCCTTCTTTTTCATTATCCTTTTTGCTCTTCTTCTCTCCTTCTCCCTCCTTCTTGTCATCTTTCTTCTCATCCTCTTTCTTCTCTTCACCAGGTTTGGCCCCGCCTGCTCCGGCAGCTCCCGGAGCAGCCGCACCTGGCGCCGGTGGTGGAGCCTTGTTCCTGCAGTTATTAATGCATTATGTTATGGTTTTACTCATGTTTCAATATATCAATGAATTGTTGGTTACTGTTACTTGTTGCCGCTGTAATCTCAGATTAAAAGGTCATTGTCAAATTCAAACGCCTGTCCCTACTTCTAACTGTACACTTCTACTAGGATATGAGTGATGGATGGAAGAAGTGTTTTATTTGAATACTTTTGTCTGTCATATGATCTGTGCACTACGACCTTCGTACACCGTAAACCCAAGACTAGACCCGCACACTTGGATTGCCACCACCCATGGCATCCAAACTCTTCTGCTCATTTGTTTTTGCTCATACCTCATTACTTAATCCTTACCTAACTTGTGATAATCGAACGTGTAAAAGAAGGCAGACTTGCAAACTTTATGTGTAGAAATTTTGCATATTTCTTTCAAAATTTGCATTCTTTGGTGATTAGATAATTTGAAAATATTCATAGTGTCAGAAAGGAAAGGTTACAGTCGGTTGTTTCGTGCTAAGGAAACTGCACTCGCAGTAATGAAATAGTAATCAAAGCGTTTCGAAGCCCAAATTTGATGCCTGCTAGGCATTTAGCACTCAATACCATCATGGAAAGGTTGAGCTTTTGCTTTTTATCTCTGACCATACGCTTCGAAAGAACATTTGAGAAGCCTTCAGTATTGGAAATAACATTAATACGCTGACATCAAAATCATTTTATCCATGTAACTTACGCCTTTTTGCCGGCACATTGGACGATACTTAAAATGGTTAGTGTAGATGCGATGAGATTAATGATTATTGATAGCATACTGATGAATATCATGATAATATCCATTGTGGACTTATCACTTTGCAGAATTTAGGTCCTGTAAAAATATATGAAAATTAACTCAGTGATAGTTGTTAAGTGTACAAATTAGTGTGTCCAATCAACGGTGTTAAGTTATAGTACTATAAAATTTGACTAAAAGTATCATTCTAACGCGACAAGTATTTGATTCCAAATAAGAGTACTGATCAGATGACTTAAACAACCTTCTCACCCTGATAAAATTCAGCTGTATTAAATCTCAGTAAATATCCAAGATCAGTTGGGAGAAGGATAAAATCGATTGATAAATGAGAATCTGTTAGAACGAACTGCAGCGAAAGAACCAACCAGCTAAGAGTAATCCTTAGGTGAGAAAATAAATGATATAAGCAATGTCGTCTACTTTTTATAAAAATTTTTAGGATATCATAGGAATTATGATAAATTATGAATACAAGCGTCGCAAGCAGTATCGTAGTGTCGTAAAAGTCATTGTTTTCGTATTGTCTTATCCTGGGCGGTTGTTCTCCCGGATTTATTGTAGACAACGTTTAATGCTAGACTTTAGTCGGACGTCTGTACTGTTCGTAAGTAACATAATTGCACAACTTCTGAAGTGTTTATTTACTCTTTGCCGGTGTGAAATGTAAATTCATCCACATGCACCTCATAATCTAACATGGCATTAGATTCAGCACTCCTATATTCGGCCTTTATTCCTTCCTGTTGTCCGAAACTTGATTACTGCTTCTTTCAGATATCAAAATTATATAACATTATGTGTAGACTATACGCATTGCGTCATAAAATGTCACATATTGCCATGTTACTGAAGATGTGAATTCTGATCTGAGATTAAAGAGATCTGGTACATCAATTTCTGGCTCTTTGTAAATAGCATAGAGTGGGACAGGAATGCACTTGTTATGTTAATCCCTGCAAAGGATAAGAAATGAGCGAATAATATTTGCAGAAAATTCTTTCCATATCTGGAGTTGTTTTCATTCTCATTGGTATAATCGGCTTAATAATTACCATAATTTTAGAAAAAGTGAGTTGTGGTACCTAATCCAGGCTTTTTAGTGTGGTTTTAAGCTTCGAGTAGTCACAACGACAGCACTCTCTTTTATTCGAATAATTTTATTTACCATTTAGTGATATGTGAATAACAGATTGCTTCAAAGTTTTCTTAGATTTACAAAGGGCAGCGTAACGTTGCGAAGCTCGCATTGCAAGATGACACGATGATTGCGCCTGACTGTGATTATAAGGTTCACAAACTTGGACTTGAGACTGCAGACGATTGGAAGGACTATTTTACGAAGGATTTCTAGAAAAACGACTACAAATGTCACATTTTGTACTTCCAAGATATCGTCTTGTTTATTACAAAGTTCTTGTTGTTAGATATCATTACAGTCATTTCATATCTCATAGAAATATATTGTGCAATTCTTATTTTCACTTGTACGTTTGAGCGCTGCAATCGAATTCACTGTGCTGTTCTGAAATACAAGTTTTTACTTTGAGATGTTGCTCAAATCTACTCGCATTTTTTGTTAGGCTTAAAAGTTTTCTTATTCTTATATGCAAATTCAATATTTGGAATGAAATGCTAATATTTACATATTGAATATGATAGTTCGAAGTATGTAACATTTGAATAATACTTGATTTGCATATGAATCAATTGCTGCACATTGAAAAATTATAATCGAAAAGTTTTAGCTTACTAGCACTCAAATAGATGAAAAATATGTAGCAAATAATGTAAATGTAAGAGTATCTGGATGCTTTGAGTTAAAGGAATTTTATCCCCTCTGACCTATTAACCTTTCAACAGCTGTCCTTATTTTTTAGAATGACTCAGAATAACTTGAAAAAAGTGACATAAAATGGCTTCTCTGGCATTCATTCCTGAATTTGCATTGCGTCTTTTGACAAGCAATTCATCATATATGCATCTGTAATAATATTGCACACAGCTATCCACACACATCCCTGTAATTTTCTAATATTAATACTTTTTATAGAAGTAGTGTTACTGTCTATTTTTTCAGTCAAAAACAGTTTATTTGATGAAAATTCGGTAAGGATAGCAAATTCAATGGCCAACTGTAAAAGCTTATTTTAAACGCTTTACAGCAGATTAATTATGACTTTTCCAAATGTGATCTGTTGTCTCAAACACATTGCAAAGCAAAGGATACAAAGTTATATTAAAACAGCAATGCATAATTTCTACACAAAATCGTTTATTATGTGTCGTCTCAGCACGATCATTTAATATTAGTTCATCTTTTATAATATATTTTTGAATAAAGATATATATTTCAGTAAAAAAGAAGTTGTAAAATACTGCTAACAATAATTGCGCCTCGATATGATAACATGTAGAGAAATGCGGAAGTCGTGAAATACGCTGTTACTAAGCTAAAGGCTATGCTAAACACCATTAATCTGTTAATCTGCAATCAAACAAAATTTATGATTTTTACTGTTATTCAACAGTTTTGGCAATTGCGTCATTTCGTTATCTTATTTCTCCATTAAACATAAGTATACCATGTAAATACATTCATTTCCAAAACTGAAAAATACTTTGAATGCTAACTACCCTATTGAAATAATGATTATGAATTATATTATCTTAAAAAGCACACTTTGTCAAGCTGACGAAAATATGAATAATTAACTGTGCAAAGAATTTATTCTTAGCACTAATGAAATACAAAATGTTTGTGAAAAATAATAACCCAAGCATATTTGTCGTGTAATCCGACGAAGCTATCAACCAGTGCAATAAACGTCCAAATAACAAGTAGTACGAGTAAGATGAGCGCAAATACCGGTACAAACACGTGTCCACGATGAACTGTATCATTAAAAACCACAATTGCATGTGTCGTTGATATCAGACTTGTAATCTACTTGTCAAAAAAAATTTATTCCATGATTACGTGACCATCATGTGACTACTGAACTTAGTTTGCAGAAATATTTGACCTCTGCTTGCATACACAATTTAAGTTTCGCTTGTACTTATGTTAGCATGCATGTAACTTGACACTAATTCGTTATCAGTGTGAATGCTCGTAAGACCTAATATACAGAAGTTCCTGTTATACATAAATATCAGCGAGACTTACTGCGGTAGTTGAATAACAGATTACGTATTGCGTGACATTGGATATTAATCAAAATCTTATAAATAAGTAAAATATATATTGATCTAAGATTTTTACGTGACAGAAATGTACAAGATGTAAAAATGCTCGTTTTATAAACCTACTACGTCCATTTCACAAATTCTGTCTAAAGCATCACTTCAGTCTGGCTTCATTTGATCACAAATGAATTTACAGAGCTCACGAAAAGGACTTAAATTATTTTGACAAAAACAATTCGACGAAATAAAGTTCAGTATGTTCAAACTTTTAGCAGCAGTGGCATTCTTCAGCTATAACAGCAGCAACTAACTGATCCTTAAATCAGCACAAAAGACAAAAAGTAATGGGACTTACTGCTGCAACAAATCGCATGAAAAGGATATTTGCAAGAAAACTGTCCATATTTGCAAACTTCTCAACAATTGCAAATTAAGCAAGCGACAGCGCAAGATATCACAAACTATTGAAAATGTCTACTCATGCAGTAATTTGTTGCATTTTATATGATCAGACTGTATAACCAACGAAATGCTTGAAATTACCCTTTGCTTTCATCACTTCTCAATTACTATTTCCTGCCAGTATCCCGCCTTTCTCACCAAGCAAGAACTGAATACTAACTTCATATCTCAGTTACTTAATTGCTTGCCCTGCTCAATCGCTCCACGTATAGTATTCCTAATTTTTCACCAGGAGAAAAACATGTACATAATCTAGAATATCAAGTATTGCAATTTTTATACTTGTAAATGGTGACAACTGTCCCATTCTTATATCTTGCACGGAAAACTTAAGTGAACTTCCAGTTAAACACAAATTTTCAAGTCATTACGAAGTTTGAGAAATTGAAAATTGCATTACTGCTCTAGAGAAATTATGTACTTCTGCTCCTATTATTTCGCAGTAATTTAATAATTGCTACTATCAAAGATAATTGCGATAATTTTATTAGTTTTGCTTGTTATTCTAGAGCAGCTTCACTGAACAGTGGAACAAGATATATTCCCAAATGATTTTAAGATAATCAAACAATTAATAGCAAAGCCAAAATTTAATTCTGCAACTTGCAGAAGGAAAATTCGTTAAAAACAGAAGACAAAGTACTTTGGAAAACATGTCTTGCAAAAATATATGCTTTAGATCAGATTCAAGAACATAATTTCAGCATGCATTTTACACACTTTTCACAAAAATCGTTTATTCCCCGACAGACAAGTAATCAGAGCTACCGATTTAAACACCCGTCATATGTACAAAGAATTAGTATCATTCGAAACAGCTGAGCAAACAGTGCATTAGATTATCCTTAATCACTTGTAAGAGTCTATATAAAGCTAAATACAGTCAACGAAGCATTAGGCTATCCTTAACAATTAGAAAATAACTTTGTGATAAGGAATATTAGCAAACTTGTTCAATATATTAATGGATATAAATGATATAGCTCAAAAAAATATTCAAGACTAATCTCTCTAGTCACTAAATTTTTTTTACTGCCAGATAACTCAATCCACTAGCTGCACAGCTGCTAGAAAAAATAATTCATGACTAAAAAGTGCTGAATGTAGACCTTTTTTAAAATGGAATTTCAGTACAACACAAATTTCTTCGAAAATACAAAAAATAACGACTGAAATATTAAGTCACAAAATCTGAAAAAAATAAAATGAAGTGGACTTTCAAGAATACTAATCCACAATGACCAAGAACAATAGTTTGTAAATAATTTTTAGAATCGATAGAAATACAACTTAACTGAAAGGTTTTATTTTATAGAATGCTAGCTGCCTCTATATTCTCCTGTATAATTTAAAAAAATTTACCTTAATTCCAAAAAGTTTTAAGAAAATACAATGAAAGATGTAGAATTTAAAAAATACTAATCCAAACTGACTGCAAAAAACAGACAACAAAAAAGCTAACTTACAAGCTTTCAACATATTACAATAGACTCAAAAAATGGGAAAGCATTGAATTATGATACTCCAATGATGTCATCAATAAAAAAATTACTAAATTAAAATTTAAGAACGTCGCAGTATTTTATAGACTAAAGTGAAAAATTTAAGAAATTAAAAAAATATTGGAAATAATTCTTGTATGGCACACGATGTCAATATAATTATACCCAATTATTCCATTATTTACATGAAAGATATTACAATATAAAAGATATCTTGACACAGAAACTAAAATGTTAAAAAGTGAACATCTTAAAGGCTATAACAAAACATTCGATAAATCCACAAAAATAAGAAAAATGTGATCTTACTGAATCATAACAAGTGCAGTTCTGAGTATTAAGATTAAATTACTTAGCTCAATTCTTATAATATGAATTAGAATTAATAATTATTTTGAATGGGTTTAGTACATCGTTTCTGAATGTTAGCTATCTAAAAGCTTACTGTGTGTCATTAACATAAATTCAGACTTGCTAGCTTTATTCTCAGTGGTCATAGATTGGCAGTGGATGACCTTCCGTATTAAAGACGTATTTGTCAAGAGGAATATCAGTTTTGTCATCATCAAATAAGAGATACAGATACTTCAATGTCTCGGCCAAAAAAAACGATTCCATCATATCCCTGGAACTGAACTGTGTATTTCACTATTTTTTAATCATCGTAAAAGTAATCATTAAAAAAAATAACCAACCTATGTGTAACTGGTATGCTTTTAACATTATTCACCGAAGAATATCCATATTCCAGTTTCGCATAATTTTCAATAGCTTTGAACACTTCCCATCCCCATTCCTGATACATTCGGTCACCTGTTACTCGATATAAGTAAAACCACGCTTCGACAGCTTCTGGTCGTAACAAACTATGTGCATCCAGATGCTAAAACAATACTTCTACTATTCTTTTTCAAAATCATTTCCTAACTTTAAATTAAAAACCACATCTTAAATAAAGAAACAATATAATATAAACTTTGATCGAGATGTCCTGCGGATTTTGCGAATTGGTGTTGAAGTAGATAATTTCTGGACCTAAGCCCGTCCTAGTTTCGTACATTTTATGGCATCCATTTGCAATATCTTTTGCAAGTTCTAAATGTTCATGAGGTAACCCATTCAAACTGCCTAAAGCCAAAGATCCGGCGATAAAACAAGCCAAATGATCCTATAATTGAAACTAAAGGAATAACTTACAATTAACCCAACTTATGAGGAAAAAAAAATGCTTCCTTAAGTATAAAAAAAGCTTATTTATAAATGAATCCAAAAATTTTTTTTGAGTTTTTTTGGCAAACGATATTTCTAATGCAAAATAAAGAGTTTGTAACCAGCTCTTACAAAATGTCATACCCAACACGACTTATTTCTTCATTAAACTTATGCAGTCAAATCAGTCAAACTTGAAACACCACTGATCAATTACAATACCATTTTAGCAGAATACACATCTCCTGCGAGTATTTCACCAACAAAAGCAATATTATTTGGTTTTGAGTGCTTTAAAAGATACTTTTTCATTGCCGCCATTGAATTAATGTAGTCGTCTCTTAACCTACAAAAAAACGATATAAGTACAAGCAAAAAGTTTAAAATTAACTTTGGTTTTTAAACATACCAATTGATTTTCTTGCCTGTTTGCAGCCACTGCTTTAACAAATATTCATAATAACTATCTGATCGTGCACCCATCGTAATAGTCGTATGTTCTGAGCAAAATATAGGTAGAAAAGAGCTGCATTAGTAATGAGTTTTGCAGCATAAAAAAACGATACAACAAAAGACCCAAAAATTAAAATCAAAGTCATTAAATAAAAGATTTTACCTCTAAAGCTTCCTGTAGTCGGATTAATGAACATATTACACAAACCACCATAATGAGAACAAGTCACATGATGCACATGCTCGGATGTTTGAAACGCAAGCATCTACAACTCTTAATGCTCAATTTCGCTTCATCTGTTGAATTAGTAATCAACCATGAAAAAATATTTAAAATAATTTTTACGAAAACCAACCTCGTAGGTACCATTATTGGTTACACGAGAAAGATCTCGAAATTCCAACTGAACACTTGTGACTTCAGAAAGAGAACAATCATTAATCCATAGCGGTTGCCTCCCTTCTCTAAAACTTTTTTTTTTAATATCAAAATTTTTCCTATTAAATTTATGATCAATCATATATGAGTATTGCTGAAGTATTATCATCATGTGACAGCACGAAAACTCGATGAAAACAAAGACCAATACTTATTTATTAAAAGTTGTATTTAGAAATCGAATCTCACTGTACTTTTAATGCAGTAAAGATGTGAATTATGGTTCTCTAAATGTTTACTGATCTTCAATATAGGCAAAGAATGTAGCACTAAAACACCGTCATGCACAAATTAGGTGAGAGAATATTCACAACTATTACAGGCTTTAATTGGATTTATCATTCCAAATGAAAGATCCATTTGCAGCTTTCAGCCTTCAAAGTCTTTAAATCTTCAGTTGTTTACACTTTCCATGCTGCAGATCAAATGACACAAACTTTTAAAATGCAACATGAGATTACAACATAAAGTAAAAAACCTATTTGTAAGGCTGACGTCACTGTATGGAACAGGAGATGACGTTGCATATGCAGCAATAAGGCGACTTCCAAGATCCTCAGCACGTTGGGCAAACATCTGATCACCACTTAGATGATAAGCACTTAATAAGCCCCCAAGAACTCGAATTGTCGTCTCGAAAAAACTTACAAAACGATTCGTTTTGAATGATAATGAATCAGCAACCCAGTTTCTTCCTTCTTCGAATTCTTGAATTACTATTATCAATAAACATAAAATTAAGTTATTTCTAAATATTGAAACTGATAATTCTATATTATAAAATGGGAAAATTTGATGCGAGTTGAATTTAAATGTAGAATATAGAGATTTCAAAAAAATAAAATTCAATTTACTGTTCAAGAAAAAATATGAGACTTGCCTTCATCTAGTCCCATAATCAAAGCAGTTGAAAGTGAATCAATAATGGTTAGACCAAGACCAAACCAGTCATTATGTGTTTTTGAAATTGGTTTTAAATGATCATGTCCCCATGCAAATTTCTTATATGCATTCCAGGCATGCTTGAAAGCCTTAACTACTGCTTCTTGCTTATCATTTTTGGGCCCTAAAAAAGTAAATCATCACATGATAAATGAAAATCCACAGAAAAAACAATAATATTTAAAAGATTGTTCTCTATAATATAGATTCAGGATTCGATGTAAAATCAAATAAAAATTATTTTCAAATCTCAAAAACACTCTGAACTGGAAAATTATTTTTATTTACCCTTGAATTTCGAATATCTTAGTTTCTCAATACTTTTTTTCTCAGGATCATTTCCAGATTCTTGTATTTTGCTTTCAGTTCTACGGCTCTCATTCAATACTGCTGCTTTTGCATTTTGGTATACAATTTCTTCCTATAATATAAGAAATAGATGAAAGACTACTAAATTTATACAGTCGAGAGGTAGATCAGTACATATCTTAAATAATGAATAAAAAGCTAAAATACTACCACTATTTTGAAAATTCTTTTAATTTAACTTATTTTAAAGATTAAAAGACTTGAGGTAACCTTCTGGTCAGGAGGAATATCGATTGGTTCTGGGTGAACTATATCTTGGTTGTTTGGTGAAAAATGAACTAACTTCCTTTTCAATTCATTTTTTAAAGCAATGATGCAAATGAAAAACAAAAGAAGAAATACAATAAACATGATAGAACGCTGTGAACGAGCAAATGACCGCCAAAGCTGAAATATTAAGAGCAAAAAATTATAAACTGGAGGTGATATTAAATGATTGATCAATTGGTAAAAATTGCTTCAAGAAAACTTTATATGTAATTATACTTTACGCGTTAAATTACTTCAAATGGCCCTATGTTTGGAAGTATTATAAATTTTTATAATATAGGGAGTTTCGCTTTCTTTGCACCAGCAACAGAAATCTTCAATATAATCCTTCTTATACGTTCAAAAAAATGATATTTCTACCCTGCACACCCATAACGACCTCCTCCTTCTCGAAATATGGTTAACAAGAAAAGGAAGATGGCCTTCACTTCCAGAACGATACAATTTATTCATCATTTCGAGTAAATTAGTAACATTATTAGTGGATGCTTAATTTCTATATGCTACACCTGAAATAAATAATTATAATAAAAATTTCCTCACATAATACGTAATCAAATGATATGCATATTACGAATGAAAGTAACAAATAACCTACATTAAAAACTGTACAAATTACTCACGCATGAACTCACTTTGATATGAAAAATGCATCCATAATAATGACCAAATGGTAGGTGGTACATGAGCGTACTGACAATTAATTAATAATGATGCAAGTCTCACAAATTTCAAAAGCGAGAAAAATAAATCACAAATTTGAAAAATGACAGATTCAATTACGAAGGTATGTAGTTTAAATAAAAAATTGTAAATTGATAAATTTGAAAAAGAACGGGAAATAAAGTCGCAAAATACATTAAATAAAGATAAACTATATTTGGTAATTCAAATGTGTAAAAACCATTACTTGTAGAAGTGAATACAATAAACCGCCCCCAACCAAAATCTATTAACTCAACGAATCTTTGATGTGACAGCGAGTTCAATACGTCATACTTCAGTTACATAAAATGGAAACTGACAAGTGCAATAATAACATATTATGCTGATAGCCACAACAACCTAACCAAAATGTTTGTCCTAAATATTGAGGGCTTTTCATACCATATATACCTTCTCTATATGTCACATCAATAATTCCCTAACGTACAATCTCATGTAACACAAATGGAGAATGAAAAAATTATACTTGGTTGCTTTTGGAGCGTGCAAGAGCATCTGATTTTTGGTGTTTCTATAAATCTTTGAATGTAAACACGTATTATATCAAAAATAAGTCTAAAAAGTAGTACTAAAAGGTAGCTACAGCTGCAACTGCTTCAACATGTTTCGACTAGAACACTTCATTCTTTATATGTACATAAACGTGAAAGTTTTTTATAAATAATATACCTCATGTACACTCATAAATATGCAGTTCTCAGCTTATTATTCTATGTGACAGTACAATTCAGTAAAATGTTATAGAGGTGTAGGTCGCATGTGCGGTCGAATAATTTCAGACGAAAATACGCTCCACATCACACGAATTAGTAAAGAAAGTATGATTTTGAAACATGAACCATTTTAGCTTTCATTTAATATTTCAGTAATTATACAAACTGCGTTATCACCTGCATTCAAAGTAAACTACTACATTCTGAAAGTCTGCAACAAAAAGGAACTACACAGAAAGAAGAAAAATTTCTTTCAAATAGACGTAGTTATGTACTTTTTTTCACGTAAATGAAAATGAATGAGAACGTGAATGGGGAAGGACACAAAAAAAACGGAAACAAGCACAATTAGCTTGAAGAATAACACAGTACACGAAAACCAAAGAAGTATAACGAACCCGCAGTTTGATGCGTCGCGTAATGTGCACTTCAGGATGAGGAAACACTTTGCCAACAATAATCAGTTGAATAAATAATTGAGTGTTTAGTGAGGGATAGGCTGCTGAGTAGTCGGATTGCGAATCGGAGGTCAGATGAGTTCTGTCTCTACGTGGAGGACATGGTCGAGATAATAGGTCGAGTTTTAGTTCTGGGACGAAACTTGGTCGGAGTGTTTTCAAGTTGCATATAAAGCCGAATTTTTCAGATTCGGAATAGGATTCGGGTTGGAGTGACTTTGGATTTTGTTGAAAGACTGAGTTATTCCAAATCACGATGTATAACCAATACGAAACAGTTAAATCTCTAATGAGTAATGCAGTGATCATCGTTAGTCGCTTACTTTACTGATTATTTTATGATCGATTGACTCGATCAGTTCTCTAAATCTTTCCACATATATGGAAAATCATTGCAGCAGCGCATGAAAGTTGGCTAATCTATTTGTGTATTACTCTCATCAGATTTTTGTCTTGGACTTTGATAAATTATTCATGTGCTGTAACATTTACTGACAGCTAGGTTCATGACATCATTACCAGTCTTTTTATCAGCTGAGTAAACTTGCTACTAATGACAGTATTGCCACATCGACACCTGGCCATTATAATTATATCTCGAGTATTTTCCGTGATCATTGTTGTTTTCCTATGAATGCGACACTAAGAGCTTGCGTTAATATGTGATGACTTTGATAACTCCGAAATATGCTGCAATTAGCAAAGCAAGTCAGTTTTTCAACACTTTACAGTCGCATAATTAGCCTTTGATAAAAAGTAAGTAGTAATGAAGTAATTTCTGTTTTATTGCTACGTGTTCCGTCAAATAATTCAAATTCACATGAAGTTTTTAATCTTCTCAAAAAAATGGAACTGAAATACATGTATGAAGTTCGAATATTTTCAAAGTAATGAACAAAGCGCACATTTCCAAATTAACGAACGTTGCAAGTGGTGAAGTTATTTTACTCTTTACACATTTTCGATAAATTTCAACGAGTGACATTTTTGTTCAATTTTCTGCCTATAAAATTTGAAGAATGGTCATACTAACTCTTAAAATCATCATAATACATGGCATAATAATCACTTTCTTCTCGGAAGTTTTTCGTAGTTGTTCGTACACGTGGAATAGAAGTCAAATGTGCAATTTTAGTAGTAGAAATAGTTTTCGACGGACGATGAGTCGTCGTTACAAGGTTCTTTGTTATACTAGTTCCTCTTTTTGTAGAAACTTGAAAAGTCGTCGTAGATCGTAGAATTTCTGGTTTTGACGTATTGGCAGCAATTCTTCTGAATCAAAATAAAATTGTTGGAAGGATGAATTTTGAAGAGTTTAATGCTTATAAATCATCAAAGTGCATCAAATTGAAGTGAAGTAGTTGCAATTTGATGAAAAATCAAATTCTGAAAGCAAACCTTTCCGAGAAATTTATTGCTTCTGGTGTAGTCATATCGATAGTAATTTTCGTCTGCTCAGTTTCATCGATATTTTCTGCGATTCCAGGCATTATAATCTTTGGGATAATCGACAGTTCGGGTACTTTAGTGATTGTTGGTGCTGCAGTTACTGGGAGCTCGTCTGGTTTAGTTATTTCCTCAAAGTTGTCAAGATCTGCGCCATTTTCAAGCTAAAATTATTCAGAGATTCATAATGGAAGTCATTTTTAGCAAGGCAACAACATATTCATCAGAAAATCACAATATTACACACTGTGCAATGCACTGAATAACTGTTCTTCTGTTGTCATTTCCTTCAGTTTTACAATACTCACTTATGTCAAATAAAATTTTTCTTTGCTAATATTAGACTATTCTTGCATATTACTCTAACTTTGGTGAAAGCAACAAAGTTACAAAAGTTTTTAATACACACTTATTTGTTTGTGTTATTATTTTATATATTTTTATTAAAATTTCATTTTGAAATAAAAATATATGCGGTGTAAATGTTGCATGAGTCAAACCTACAGCGTTGTAATAATCGGTTGCATCAATATTTTCTGCAATTTCTGGTAGCTCTTCGATCGTTGGCTTTTTTACTTTTATAAATTGACTAGAATTACTCTTTACTAATTCACTGAAATCTATGCCAATATCGCCATCTTCTGGTGTAATTTCTACAATAAAAGCAAGCGGTAAATTTTATTTCGGAAAAAGATTTGTAAATAAATTTGAAAAATTGAAAAATAATTACTCATAGTAAAGAAAAGAATGTGTCTAGAAACTAGACCTTTCAAGTTATGCTTTGACGACTTCTTTGCGTGCGTGAAATTTCTAAGCAAACTCTCCAGTCCACTGCCAACACCTTTCTCCTCACCTCCACCTATGAACTTTTGTATAAAATCAGGATTCGAAATCAGATCACCAAGAATCTCCCACCCTTTTGGGTCTTGTATTAACTGTAGAGCTATCTGTAAGCATGAGTTAAATACAAAGTTCTCATAGAAATTTAAATTTGTATTTGAAAACAACAAAATCTCTAGTAGCTACTCTAGTCAGTTTACTCAGGTGAGATTAAATTTAGTACTGTTATATTTTCAAATGATTTATTTGAGTTTTATCTATTGAACAAAAGTGTTCCGAATTAAAGTCTTAAAATTTTCTTACTTGAAAATTAGTAAAGAATTCACTTTTTCGGAATTCATCGATAGCTTTGTAAATATCACCACAACTTAATCTATTACAGAGTCCCAGTAATTCAGGCAGATTATAAATACTATCATCGAAATTACCCTTTGAACCAGCCAAGAATGTTTCTAATACTTTCGCAAAATCAATTGGCTTTGCTAAAACAAAAGGTCATTGCTAGTGATTTATTCTGTGAAGTACTGAAGTTGAAGTATGCTGTTTGAGTTGGATGACTTTTAGGTAGCAAAGGTTAAACAACGAAACTCAAGATGCATCACAGGAGCTATGAATTTCTCGGTCTGACTCAATATGCTTGAAAGATAACTAACTAATAATGAAGCAAATAGTTAGAAAGTAAAATATGAGAAAGACGCAATCATAACAGTTGCTTCCCAAATTATTCAGAACGTAATAAAATTATAAGAATGCAAGATAAAAGTAAAGTGAAATCAGCTTTTAACTTTTTTGAGGAAGTCTACGTTGGTAAATGACGTCGCGATCATTTTCGGAAAGCTAAAAATTTATGCAAATTTTTTTCGCTCGGATACATGAGAGCAATTTGCATATAATCAGGAAAGAGCTTGACTTTCTACCTCAAATTGATTGTAAACCGCAATTTGTGAGGTTGATCTTTTCGGAAACTTTGAGAAGTTACGTGGGTGAGTCTAACAGTGACTTTTGACAACGACAGGTGTCACGCTTGTTCAAAGTATTGAAAGTGATTTGTTACACTCAATAATTAACTTCGTATTGATTGTGTTGGAGATAACAACCAAACATTTTAGAATTAAAAGTAAAAATAAATTAATAATTAGTAGTGCAAAGGTCCGAAGTGGACAGCGATGGCCGAGTGGTTAAGGCGTTGGATTTAAGTTCCAATGGACGTAAGTCCTCGTGGGTTCGAACCCCACTCGCTGTAAAACTGCTCTTGGTTTTGAACTTGCTTGTTGTAAGAAGTGCTAGATAAGCCGATGTTTTCTGCTTTATTTGCTTACTGCCTACGCTCTTGGCAAGCAGTGACTAGTTTTAGGATATCTTACGGTTGTTATGATATTACTGTATATCATAGCAACCTTCGTAATTATGAAGTGAGAACAAAAGTTGGGCTTTTTCACATCAAAGAGTAAATGAAATTATAATTTGCTAACCATTCACCAAAAAATCAGGTAGGAATATCAGGTCTGTTTGTTGATAAGAATCAGCCGCTTGACTCTTATCAGTACCAATTTTGCTAGTTATCACTGCATTTTTGATCGTTGACTTCTCAGGGATTTTGCGGCGGCCATCGAGAATATGAAAAACTGCGGTCAGAACGCCATCTGGCCCAAAAAGTAAATTTTCCCAGTGTGCATATTGCTGTGTTTTCAAATTACCTTTAAAATTATATTGTTACCAAAAACTGCCTGTAAAAGTAACTGTCATAATTCATAACTGTACGGTTTAAAGTATGTTTCATTGATTTATTGCACAATTTGCAGTGTGCTAAAAATCTAATCGCTTTCCAGAAAGATTACAAAGGAAAGTCAAACAATTTTATTCGGAATTTTTATCAATCACGAAGTATTTCGAGTTGTGTTAAGTGTGGATTCGTTATCAGTTATTAATTAATTTTAGCTTTGCAAATATCTGATCCGTATAAAAGAAATTTTGAGTTAACGACACTTCCAAGTGCTTGTTGTTCTGAGAAGTTTATTGCAGTTGGGATATTGTCAAAGGTGAAAGGTAAAATTATATCAGAGATGAAATCAGTCATACCTGAGATGTTCTGACTTCTGAATTTTTCGCCTAGGCTCTGGCTGAATTTCAATGGTTGCACCGACAAGCCATTTTTATCACCGGAAAATAATAACTGCAGTGGCTGTGCTTGCTGGAATGCTTGTTTTCTCCGAATGTTTTGCTGAAATAAGTTTCAAGCATTACTGATTGCAATGTGAGGAATACTTATGAACCGAATCACAACCAGAAATGTTTAGACTTGAAACAAGATGGATTGAAATGGAAACCTGAATGATAGCGGGAAGAGCTCGTTCTCGATTTCTCATCTTATCAAACAAATTAGTCAGATCTGCAGCATCTTGAACTAATGAGGTCAGAAGTTGATCGCCACTTCCTACAAATAAATTTTTTAGATTAAGTGATAATTATGAGCCAAAGGCAGCAGTAATTCATTATTTATTTATATTTCCTAAGTGAACAAACTAAATTATTCACTTTTCTATCGTTGAAAAAGATTAAGCAAATAATTTTCCTCATCTCAGTTCACGACTACTTCAATTGATCTATCGTGTATGAACTGAAATTCGCGGCAACAAATGTGCTTGATCATGAACAAATTTTGAATAACAAAACTTGCTATTAACTTACACATTACTGCAACTCATCGCATAATTATATACAGTGGTAAAATTGTGCATGATTACGTGTGATGACAATTACTTTGAGCGAATTTTAGCTACAGATCAGATCTGACTAATATTAGTTAGGACCACAAGCCAATAATTAATTAAACAAGTTATTATTAAACAGAAAAAAAAGTCAAATTAATCATTTTTTGAAAGTGTAAAATACTTGCTTTTGAGTCGATTAGTGCTCGAATAGCTATATTAAAGTACTTTTATCATTACCATTTATTATCTTATGTAAATTTGAACTAACTGATTATAAATGAGAATTCCAACCTGATAGTCGTAATTCACGCAGAGACAATTCATTTACATTGTTGAAAAATTTTGTGTCCGTAATATTTCTACGATGAAATTCAAACAAGTTATTTTTTTTACGTACAATTAAATCATGTTCAGTACAATTCTCCCAAAGATAACTATTATTTACGCTTGAGCAAGAAGTAAAAGCTTTACTATGTATTGGTTGCTTTTCTGGAGCAATATCGTACTGTTCTGGTTTCAAAGTAGCATTCAGATTTTGATTTAATTGTGATTTTGCGTTGTGATTCAAGGGAGAAGCGTAATTCAATTGTAGAGTTTGCTTTGGATCAGAAATTACGTACGGATGAAAAGTTTCATCGAGCAAAAACGTTCGATTAATTGTACTATTGAAAACTCGAAAACTTTGTCGTAATTGTGATTGATTGGTATCAAATACAATAGGAAATGTATCAATATGATAAAAGCTCCGTGGAATCAGAAGCATTAAAATGCTAATTTTGAATAGACTTTCAAAATTGCCAGTCATAGCAAAGATTATTGTAGTAAAAATGATGGTAAATGTTTATATCATTTCATCGCAAATAGTAAGTAAATATATCAGCTGTAAAACTTAGCCAATATATAAATAGAGCTCAATGCAAGCAGAGATAGAAATTGAACTCGATTATCAATAATGATTATTTGAATTTCATCAATTCTGCCAGCTAAACCTGATTATGACCATAATTATGATTATGAGTCATTAGAATGATAGAGAATAGAAACGCTTGCTTATATATCACTAATCATAATCAGCTTTAGCATTTTTGTGCTCTTAAAGTTTTTAAATTTTCCGTCTCAAATCTATTTTGCATAATCATTTCAGTAAAGAGATAAAAATCAAACTCTGACTGAATGTGAAATATTTTTTATTTAAAATTAATCACCTAAATTTTACTTTGCTTTTTGATTAAGAATTATTCGTATTCATATTTAATATCACTGATATTATTTTTCCTTCCATCTGATTAAAATTTAATTTCTCTGAGTTTTTTCTCTTAAGATATTTATCATTTGCGAAACAATGCCAATAATAAATAATATCACAGTTATTGCGATAATATAGTTATATTTTTATTATTTATCACGAATATTGTAAACGATTATATGAAGAGCGCTTTCAGCTGAATTACTATTCATAAAATTATAGTTCATAAATATTTTAGTTTCAATGAGTATTAAAAAACTATTTTCACTATGAAATAATGATGTTTCTGCTAGTGACAGTATCATCATCAGCTTTTATATTCTTTTTATTTCTGTTCTTCAAGAGGGATCTTCAAAATAATAATGGTAGTAATAATTAATACTACTACTAATAATAATAATAATAATAATAAATATTACTATAATATGAGAATAAATATTGCAAAGGTAATAACAGTAGTAATAAAACTCATTTTTAGTTGCAGCATTAATTGTTCATAAAATTGCAACGATGAATTATTTTTCAGACATATTACACTGAATTTTTGTATTTCAAATCAATTCATGCAAATGGCATAATTTGTCGAAGACATAAAGTAAGAAAACAAAACGGAAGGCAATGATGTATAGCTGACAGTATTAACTATTTGAGAATTGCTATTGAATAATTTTAATGAATAATTTTTGGGTAAGAAAATTTGAATGTATGGAAAGAGGACGACGTATATGTAATGTTAAGAAGGAAAAATCCGGTTTATTTTATACAATTGGCAAAATCGCAATAACATATATTTTGACTAACAAATGAATCAGAAATTATTCACAAAGTTAATATCAAATAGAAAATTACTTGAGAAATCACGAAGAAGTGATTTTTTCTAAAGTTGTTGTTGAAGAAAACGTAGTATTTGAGAATGAATCCAAATTAAATAGAACCAGATTAAAACTTGATTTATTCGATTCATTAGATCAAGATCAAGGATGATGACTGAAAGCTGAACGAAAACGTTTTAACTGAATGGACAAAATACACAACTCGTTTTTCAAATCAAAAAATTAAACGCTCGATTGTGTCAGTTGTTGCGTGGATAAATTTGTCATCTTTTGATAAAAAACCATCAAATCACTTCTTGCTTAGCATTTGAAATAGCTAAAAGTAATTCTATTGGACTTGTTGCTATTTAATTTTTCCGCTCAACAACAATGCTAAAACAAAGTGTAAAATAATTTTTATCAATTATTACTCACTTGCAAAATAATGAAAAGAGATAATACAATAACGTGGTACGAAAATAAATTCTTACTAGTACTGCTAATGTTTGATACTAAAATAAAAAACGATTGCATAGAATTATACAAGAAACCCGTGGAATACTCTGACAGATACTTTAGAATTATGGTAAGCTACATCTGAGACAGATTGCATTTATAATACAAAATTCGTTCAAAAATCTCACCACTCAAATTATTTTTTTAATAAAATTTATAAATTCGATTAATTATTGTAATAATCACTTACTGCGCAAATTTTCCGGCATATTTTGTATTTTATGTATAATCAAAAAATATTAGTTATTAAAAGACCTCTGCAATACTAGACTTCTGTATTGTACAGTTAATATTTATTGTTTTAGCAAATTATAACAAAATTTTTTCATTCTACAATACAAATGAAAGCAAGATAAAATCTTGCAGAATTATGCAACTATCAGGAAGTTATTCTTTAAGATATTTTATACAATCCATCAAATTCTTTTCAACTGTTTTCGTCTTTTTAGCATTTTGATTAGTTCCACTTTTTTGGTTAGTCGTGGAAGTACTTTTATGTTTCTCCGCACCATCTTCCTCTTCAACATCATCATAATAATCACTAGCTCTTTTACTTCGAGATGATTCTGCTGAAGTCATTCGGTCAAATTCTATTGGATATTTGATGATTGGTAGTGGTAAAGGTAATGGTATTATATTTGATGAAAACAATTTAGTGTCCCAATCAGGTGGCAAAAAATTTAATATTTTTTTAGATATTAAATTTGAGGTGAAAGGTAAGGATATAGTGGCAGGAGCCAAGGGTGCAAATGTTGCAAGAGTTGGGAATGCAAAAATAAGAGGCGGGAAGGAAAATAGACCAGATGGAGTTGGTGGTGTAACTTGCAGTGGTCTAGCAAGCGTTGATCTTGAGAGATTTCGAAGAGTTGAAGGTGCAGAGTCAAAGTCTTGCAGTGGTTTTCTTGTCTCCTGGGACATTGGAGGTAATATCTGATTTGGATCATCAGCATAACTTTGATGAGTCGACCAAGTTCGAGATCCCACATTTTGAAATACTCCAGGTTGTATTGGTACTGGCAGTGCATCACCTTCATCATAATATGGATCATCTTTGACCCCATAACTGGTTGACTTCTTTCCTGCTGTTACTTCTGCATCAATTGTAGTAATAAATCTGCAAAATAAGTATGCAAATTATTACGTGCAAATTATCTTACAATCACTTAATGCGCAAATTTTCCGGCATATTTTGTGTTTATATATCAAAAAATATTAGTTATCAAAAGACCTCTGCAGTAACAAACTTCTGTATTGTATAGTTAATGTTTAATGTATTAGCAAATAGCCTTATTTAAATATCTATTGTTTGCTTTAAATTGCACATTCTTATAAAAGACATATTTCTATATCACTGTATTATATTTTGATACTAAAATTAACTGTTTTCACCGCAGCTCTTCTGCACTGATTGATAACTTATGTTTTCTGCGCTGATTGATATCATCATTATCATTGATAAAGGATTTATGAACGAAAAGTGAAGCCTATATAAGTCTCTGATAAGTAAAAGTGAAGTGGAGGGAAAGATCGAAAAGCATTACTTGTTGATCAGATTAAATCCGCTGGAGAAAAGCTTGCATTGCTCGGGCGACAGTCCTTGCTCTCGACATACTGTTAACAAGATGTTTGGATCGCTGCAATTTTAGTCATAATTAAAGTAATTTTATTGTGTCGACAATGAAAATTAATCATTTATTTTTAGAAGTAGATCTTTTGAATAATTTTTTCTACTTTCCGCTGCTCCAATTTTGTATTAATTAACTATTTTCCCCACATATTTGCATGTTTGATCAAAGTCTACTCCTTTTATACCATACTTATTACTTTTGGATAATTCATTCTTTTAAATCTAAATAGATAAATTACTAAACGTAAAATGATTTCAGTAAAAAATTTTTGTTCATTTCAAATTATGCAGGTAAAATGATTGACAAGATACAGCAAAAGATTAAAACTCAGTAGTAGTTGCTGAAAATATATATACATTTAATTAATTACAACAAAAAATGATTAAGAACTTTGTCAAATTCAAAAATGTAACAAAACAATACTTCAAGATTGCTTTTCTCAATTTTGAGTCACCCAAAATTTGAGCGGCTAAATTCAAATTCGAGATTTTCTCATCCACTCGGAAATTGTGGGCAGTACACGATATGAATTTACATATTTTTGAGTTACTTTTACATATCGGTATATCAGCTAAAGCTGAATATTTTGGTAAGCCTAGAATCTCGGCATCTCGAGGCCTCACAAGTTCTGATCGAATCTGCAAGATGAAAACATAAATTTGCATGCAGACTGGTATTTTAAGTAACTTTCCGAGCAAATTTTAAAAGTTAAAATAAACAAACAATTTTTTTGGCTGTTTGAAAATGTGATTGCAACGGTTGTGTTGTATCGAATATTGGTTGTACAAAATTTAATGCTCCCTGAACAATATCATGTAACGATACTGAAAACTTTTTTATTTTTCAAGAACTTCATTAAAAATAATTTAAATTACAAAGTGTTCAATGCAAAGCTTGTCAGAAACGGTAAATCGAGCTTACTCGAAATTTGAATTAGCTAAAAATAAAAGCCACTCATCTTGCCAACTTCTTACATATATAACTTTTAAATAAATCAAGTGAACAAAATATTTGCAACTTTTATAATTTTCAATATCTTTGCAAAGCAATGAACTTTTGACCCTCACACTGTAAATATGATTTTTTTAAACAGCAATTTCCTTCTGAAATAAATCATTTGCATACCTTGTCGTTTCGTTTTAGCACCAGAGGTAGAACCAGTGCATTCTGATATTAATATGATGATTATAGTCAAGAAAACTCGGGAGAATAATAGTGATAACATTTTGCATCAAGTGTACCAGTTCATTGATAACTTACTGCCTTTGTAAACACTGCAACAAATTATTTTTCGAATTGAATTTTATCACTAAAAAATATCGTTAACTTGAGAAAACCCATTTAAAATCATTCATATAATGTCCATTTATACAAGTACTCAAAAATACTAATAAATGATCTGTAAGATTTGATCAGCTTACAAAACCAAACAATTTTTACATATTGAACAAATTTACTTCTGTTAAAAGGTTTAATACGTACAAAGTCACTTTTTATAAATTAGATCAAATCTATAAATTCTGTTAAAAGAACCACCACAGTCAAGAGATGTCCATTTAAAAAAATGGTTTAATACGTACAAAGTCTTGACCTTTGACCTAATCCACCTATTTTCTATTTAAAAATCAATTTGTTTTACATCTTTAGCTTATCTGGTAAAACTGATCATAAAATTCTATCATTTCCATAAAAATTGCTCGACTGAATGCAAATGACTGAATAATTAATTGTTTTATTAAAAAAAATAAATTCCAAAATTTATCAAGTAATAAAATTTATTGCTTCGACTTTTGCACTTAAAATTACCTATTTTTTATTGGTAGATTTTGATTGAAGTATCCAAGCCAAGTACAAAAAATAGCTGATGAATTAAGAATTTGATCAATGTTGAGTAATCATTTGACCTTCTGTGTATTAGATAGACTACACCAAACCAAAATATTGTACATAATTATCATTTATTTTACCAAAAAAATATAAATCGATAGATTATTGATTGAAATTCCATAAAATTATGAACTATTTTAATTTTGAGGTCAATGCTATTTAACCTCTCGTAAACAAAATCAAATTACGTACCCACACACCCACGTTCAGCTTTACTTTACATAAAAGTAAAAAGGGAATACAAAATTATAAATTAATTGCAAATACTTTCACAGAAAAATTGAACAAAATAAGCAAAATGAAAGACTTACAATGATAATGCAATCAAACAACTCACTTCAAAATAGTCAAAATAATTTATTTTTAGAAACAAAAAATAATTTTTCGCATTTTCTTCTTCAAAGAAAGTTTTTGAGTAGAATTAAACTTGTGCACAAAGTGACAGTTCGCATCTCCTCAATTTACCTATGCTAAGTGATTTTATGCGCAAAAACGAGTTTTACTGCAGTGGCAAGAAATGGGGTCAACCTCAGCTCGGCAGTGATAGAAAAGTTTTATTACACGTAAGTGAGGAAGAAAACATACATCTCGCATGTGTATATTTCTTGCTATTACGAATAATTTATTCTCTACAAATTTTGTTATTTCCAAGTTTAACCTAAAATACTTATGTTAACTATTTTTTTCATAAAAGTCCAAAATTGGATCAATTTTCAAAAAATATTTTTCAGTGCAACTCATATTTTCTATGTGCGCAGCGAAGTTCTATCTCATCTATCTGCTAACTTTTTACCTCAGAAATTGGATTCGATTTTTGATTTTTTGAACTTTAAGTAAGAAAAATAGTATCTGTGACAATCTTTTTTTAATTTAATACAGTATTAACTGATGTTATTTGTGAAAATCACTCAGTTCCGCCGTTTAATATCAATTTATAATTCAGTCATACATAATGTGAATGAAAGCTAAAAAGGTTTACTTTTTTACTCTATTCCCTACAGAATTTAACAAGCATTTCCATGTCCATAAATTCATATAAATATTTCATTTTCCATTTGTTTTGCATGCATTTAATGCTAGACGAAAAACCACGTGCGTACGTGCGTTCAATTATACGTGACTCTTTGCAGCTCATCTTTATGATGTATGCACTTCATTGCTGATTAATACTTGCTAATTAAATGCAACACTTTTTCAATTTTTTCTCATAATACGTTTTATATACGAATACATTCAATAATAAGATTCAAATAAAGAATGATTGAAACACATTTTTGAAATTACTTTTCATAATATTTAGATGGATAAGTTTGAGAATTCTCTGTACAGATTCATTTATCAGCAACAAAAATGATATTCATCCGTGATCACAGGAACGTGTTTCATGCTCACTTTTGTAATTCCATCTATTCTCCTTTCACCTGATGCACAACTTTTTCATCTCTAGACAGTTAAATTATGCAACTGATTAAAATACAAAATTAATTTTTTGCACATAACAACAGCCAGCCATTAAACAGAAATACTTAAAACTATTAAGTATCAAATTGCAGTTATTTATTTATCAAATAAAAGTATATATTTTCAAAGTTAGGCACTCTACTTCAAAAGTAAACATACGACTGTGAAAAACAAAATTTAACGGAAGAAAAGATGGAGCGATTGACAAGTAAAAAACAAAACCTGAAATGATAATTGTGCTGTGAAGAACCCATCCAATCGCTGATAATTTAATTTTTTATAGCAATTAATTTCCATCATTATAAGAGATGTATTCTTGTCTCGTATTTCTCCGACTGATTTAAAAGCTGCGAGGGATCATGAGCAGATAAGTAATGCAAAAGCTGCCCAAAATATGCATGCAATCAAAAACAGCTCTACTACTTGCAGAGATGTATTAGTCTAATATAAAACGAGTCAATTATCCAAAATTAATATTTTTATTATTAGCAATGTGAAAATTAAGCTGCTTATCATTCATGAATTTAGCTTTGCTCAATCCGTTTGAGTGCTAGGACTTAATCCATCACAGCAGTACTTTTATTTTCTCTCGAGCTAATACAACGTTTTCAAATTACAAAGTTTTATTTTTTGAAAGTTTTGAAGTGATTTTGCTCATTTTAAATTTTTATTGCCTTTTTATATTATTCAGCATACTTTTAATTAAATTAATAACTTGAGTTTCGTAGAATATTTTGCAATTTTTTTCGATTTTAATAGGCTAACAACATTTTAGCAATGCAATTAAGATATTTGAAGGTCAGTTTTGAAATTTGAACTCAGCTGAAGCTAAAGTTTGATGCTAGCGTAGACATTCAAAATATGAGATATAACCTGCAAAAACTGTAGCCTTATTTGTGCCATAATAACTTTGGAAAAGTTAA